ACCACTGAATATTTGAATATCTTGATTTCAATAAGCACTGTGGTTTACTGATATATTCATGGAGTTGAAAAGATATTCCAGCAAATATCTTTGCCTTTAAATAACTCATTACAGTTTAAAGAAAATAAAACAATGACATAAACATGATCGTCACTAAAAACTGGGTATAGGAGCTAAAGGGTTTGACAAATAACACAATGCCAGAGGAAGGGGCAGGGGAAAACTACACCAGTGGCTAGTTATTCTGGAGATAGAGGTTTTGATAGTGCGTCCAGGAGGAAAGTAGTAAACATTGGTAACATTTCCATAAAGCTTCTTCGTAGGCCTTCTCTCTTGGGGGAGGAGGCAGGGGAAGAATGCGCGCCGTGGCTTGCCAGCGATCACTCCGAGGTGCTACCATTTCTAATTTCTCATGCTAAATTATTCTTTATCTTTCTGAGGTACTAGTGATTTAGCTTAGAGCTTTGCACATGCTTGGTGAGTGCTCTACCACCAAGTTGCAGCTTCTGACTTCAAACATCAATTCTACAAAAGAGATGTGACCTGCAGTTCACCAACAATTTCCAGGAACCTCAATGCCTTTAAGTACCTATTACTCTGCAAAAGAAACTGTCCTCCCACTTGAAGAATGATATTTTCTACTGACTTCTTCTTTTCCTCAGATATTTGAGTGGGAATTTAGGGAAAGTATAGCTGGAAAGTTCTTACCTAGTGTCTAGTTAGGTTGTAAATGGAAAGATGCCAGTGGGGCTGTGGACCTTGAAAGATGGTATTGCTGAAACTCCAAGATGGCTTGCTCGTGCAGCTGACAGGTGTTATTGGACGCTTGCAGTGATCTGAGAGAACCTTTGACCAGAACAGGTACACATAGGACTCATGGAAGACAGATTTCTTATGTCGACCCATTTCCCCCAGAGTGAATGGGCAGAGCCAGGTAGAAGCTATGAGAACCTGCTACCAGCCTTGGGATAATGTCTTTACTTTTGTCATACTCTGTGGGTGATGTGATCACAAGGAAAACAAGACTTCAGTGGGACAAATACTGACTCCCCAGCAAGATGAACATATAAATACTTGAGAGATCATATTTTAACTTGCCATACTTGTTTAGGAAAAAAAAAAACCAGTAAAGTCACAGGATGTAACCAACAAAATCTCCAGGAAAAATGCAGGCTATGTCATAAAGGATGTTCTTGACTTCAAACAAGCAGAAGCTTAATACCAATGAGGTTATCATTGCAATGATGTGTCAATTCATGATTTATATCACAGAAAACAAGAAAGAGTGGCATGACGTGTTGATGTAGGAGCTCCATCATCACGCCACCTCTGTCATCAGGTCACCGCTGTCTGCTTCTCGTTGCAGGAGTTTTGCCATCAGTTCCTTTAGTCTGGTTCTCTCTGCAGGTTGGTCACCTCTCATCTCTTCTAGAACTTTGCCTACACCGCACATCCAGCATCAACAGGTTGGCCCAAAGAAATAAACTGCTAACTGTTAGTTCAAGTTAGACATCTGCTTCTCTGTTTTTATCACACATGCATATCTGCTTTGTCCTTATGGTGGCTCCTGCTTGTGGAGGAATCAGTACTTGAAGATTGGAGTGTGGGAAAAACCACAGGAAAAAAATCATTCAATGCACAGGCATCATGTATTTAGAGTCAACTATAACTGCCAATCTTCTCTTTGCCTCCCCTCTGAAAACTGCCTAAGGAAATTCCTGCAAGCCTAGTGCAGGATGTAACCAGTCTTTATCTTTCAGAAAATCCATGGAGTGTGAAAAAGGGAACGAAGGGCCATTTGACCTAGCTAAGAGAGAAGAATCCAGTACCCAGAGCACATGCCCAGACATCTTCATCTACACACTGTTCAGTAAGTGTCTTCATGTATTATTTCATGTATTCTCCATAGTGTGGTCAAGTTTAACCTTCATTTTCCAGAGAAGAAATCTCAGATTGAGGAAGTTTATGTAACTTTCCTTCAGCCTCATAAGGAATAAATGACAAGTCAAGGCATTCGATTCAGTTTTCACTTTTAAATCCAAAACTTATGTCAGTCTTCATGATGGGATAGATGTGGAAAGTACGCTCAACTGGAGGTTTAGCATCTAGGTTCTTATTGGCTAAATCAAACCTTTCATTATGTGTGTCTAGTTTGTGAGGAGGGGGGAAAATGTAGTCACTGGCAGGCTTCCCATGCTTCAGTGGGTGGCACACTCATGCACATATGGGCAGAACTAACTGGAGTTAGTAGATTATAAAGAATAAAAATAAATTACATTTGGATAGAGGCCTGGTGAGGGGATATGGGAAGAGTTGAAATGAAAAGGGTCTAGGTATAATCATATTTTACTGTCTACATGTATAAAAGTATGAAAAATTAAAGATAAATTTAAATTTCTTGTGCCAAGACAGGCCACCTCAAAAGTGATATCCATTCCCTTAGAAATTTCACAGTGTCCCATCAGCACAGTGGGCTCTGACCACGACAGAGAATTTCAACACATCATTGACAGCACTGGCTATGTCTGTGCTCTTATCCTATGTGACAATCTTCAATAAAATAGGCACCTGCTCTAATTTACCAGGAGAATCCCAGGCTTTTCCAGATTCCCTGTCCACTACCCCATGCTTTTTCACTTTCAGGAAAGACACTGGATACCATGCTTTGTGGGAGAGTCTCCTCAGAGGAAGAAAAAATTTCATTATTACAACCAACTCTTGCCCTTTTCATTGGTGAGTGGCTTATTTTACTCATTTTTCTCTTTCAGGAATTTGATTGAGCTGACAAAATATGTATATGGTGTCTTATGCCTAGAATGGACAATCTGAAAGCCTAATAACACCAGAATAGAATTTAGAAGAAGGCATAGAGGTGTGTCTTAGATCTGCTGTCTGACATTCCTTGTTCATTCTTACTGATTTTCTGTTCTCATGGAAAGAATGGGAAACTCCAAAGGCCAGTGGGAATGACAGAGTCCTAAGTGTAGCCATTCAGTTTGGGGCTATGTCATGTCAATGGGGTGAAGAGTCATGGCGTATGTAGACCCTGTGTGAGCAGGTTTCACCAGCTATGGGAGCTTTAAACTGGAAACAGAGGAAGTGATTTTGTTTTTGAACTTCCAGCATGTGTGTGATTATCAAGAAAGTGGAGCAGGTGGATTTAGAGCAAATGAAATGAAGCAAATAGAAAGGAGCATTTTTGGTGCCTAAGGCATTGATAACTCCAGACATACAACACCTCCCATCAGGAGCCAAAAATATACCAGGAAGCCCACTGAAGTCACCTTTATACATGTGGCTCGTGAATATTCAGATATATGAGTCAACAAGCATGATGTATAAAATGAACTGGCTTCAATCATTCTTTTGTTCCCAAGAATACCAGATATACTCATCATTTTGCACAGCAAGGTGAGGTCTTGGCCTTGGGCATATTTTGCAAATAATGTTTGAAAGTCAGGTATGGGCTAAGGCCATTTGAAAGGTTCCCAGATCTTTTGTTCAAACTAAGAGTTTGAAGTCCTTACTTTCTGTGTTTATTTCAGTGAATACTGTTTGCTGATAAAACACAATGAGAGGAATATATGATCAGTTTTACTTTCATAAGCAGCATAATAACCAAGTTTATCTATTGTTTCATTTTATTAAAAAAATCTTAAAAATAAAGTGATTGAAGTCTGATGGGTAGTAACTTTTATATAGATTGTTATCATTTAATATGTTTTAGCGCGAGAAAGTTTTGTTTGTTTTTATTTATTCATGGTGCATACAGAAGTTTCAGTTTTGTTGACTACTGTCATGTGGGTCATTTGTTAACCAGAACATATGAAAAAAATTCTTGATTTGGGATACAGTTAACCCAAGTCTCCCTGTCTGCATTTCATTTCCATTTACCGGTAGCCATAAGTTAATCTTTTCCCAGGGAAGAAAGTAATAGAGAGAAGTGATGGTGATGGTGGCTGTGGCTGGTGGTGCTGCTGGTGGTGATAGTGTGTAGAGGAAGTATGCTGGTGATGGTGAAAATGTATGTGTGGAATGCTGCTGGTGGTGATAGTGTGTAGGGGCAGTATGCTGGTGATGGTGAAAATGTATGTGTGGAATGCTGCTGGTGGTGATAGTTCATGTGTGATTTGGCTGATGGCGTTAACAACATGATGGCCATGAAGGTGATGTGATGGTAATAATAGTGGTGGTGATGAATGCGGTGGTTATGGATACGGTAGTGGGAATGGTATCTATTATTTATTTAGCTATCATTATTTGCTTTATTTCTTCTCTGTTTGTTTTAGGCTAGGTCAGAATTTATATACCCTATTCCTACCTATTTTTAAAATTAGTTTGTTTCTCAATTCTACTGATAGTAAAGTGAACACTTCTCGGTAGAAATGCCTTCTAAACATCCCACCACTGGTATAACAGAACTGAACTCCACTCTATTGCACTTGTATTTCTGTTCCATTTGATATTCTAATGCAGCACTCCATAGCAATGGGCTAACTTCAGTATGGCATGCCTTTCTGTCCTGGACATTCCAATGCAGCATTCCATAGTGACAGGCTGCTAACTTCAGTATGGCATGCCTTTCTGTCCTGTCATTTAAACAGATGAGCAGCAGCCTGAACATCACTGGCTCCTGTCACGAGGAGCAGGTGAGTAGAAAGACCACTGTGAAGCTGCCGAGGAAGGGCTTCCCAGAATCTCCCAGGCCACAAAACAAGCCATGTAGCATTTTTTCTGTGATTTATGTGACTGAAACAGGACTTAGGAGATTCAAATAATAGAACCAATCTTTCTGTTACCTTCCTGTAGGCTTTGAAATCCTCATGTATGAACTGAAGAAAGGGGCAAAATTATCCTCTGGGCATAATCCAGTTCCGACATTTATTTTGAGTAATAACATTTAATGAATATACTAACTTATATTGTAAATTACATATTGCAAATTACATATAGTAAATACATATAGTAAATTACATTGAATACATATAGCAAATGAACCTTATGGCTGACTAGGCATCCAGAAAAACAAACTTTGTATTTCTTCACAAGTCCAGTAGTTTGAGCTTCATGTAAGTTTGTTTTCCAAGGTGAAAGATACCTGTAAAACAGAGTATGGGTAGTTTTTAGTCTATGTCATCACAATATTATAATCCTAACACTAATTCATCTGTCAACCCATTTTTTCCTAGGACTTGGTAATAAGAGTTAATTCTGTCTCTACACCATTTCATTTTCAAAGCTTTCCATAAATTAATCTTTAAAATGTCACAAAGGTGGATCTAATCCAAACTCTGTAACTCTTCTTGTGTCTCCATTATTTTTCCTTGTCCATCAGAGTCTTAGAATGCTGTCATTAAAAGAGACCTAATAGGTTCTTTAGTCGAAAATCAAATGTGGTACTTGGTTCTTAACAAACATTTTTGCCAAGTTTTTATCCAATGTAGAGGGCTATACTGATTAGTTTAAAGATGTGTTCCCAACCTTTTGGTCCCACTCAATCAGAACCAAAATAGCAGGGTGATTGCTACCTGAATTCCTGGAAGCTAATCTTGATGGACCACTTAGCAAGCCAGGGAGTACCAGGAGGCAAGCTTCTGTAGTATTCAGAATGAATGTTTTGCTTGAATTGAGTGATTAGCTTTGGGGGTAATAAGGCATTTACTTTTTACTGCCTGGTCCAACCAAGAAACAGAAACCCATTACAGATGTGCAGTGAGAAAACATGAGGCAGGAAGGAAATCGCATTCCTAGATTTCCAAGCTTGCACGTGAGCAAAGCTCCACATTCATGCCACATTATCATCTCTACTGATGTCTACATGCTGCTTTTGAAAGCATCGTAAGGAAAGATCCATTTTATATTTCCTGTTTCTCCTCCTTCCTGTGATGTGGGTTTCCCCTCTGTATGCTATGAATCTATTTTACTACCATTGGTTAATAAAGAAGCTGCTTTGGCCTATGACAGAGCAGAATATAGATAGGCGAGAAAGCTAAACTGAATGCAGGGAGAAAGAAGACAGATGCCATATAGTCATCCAAGAAGCAAGATGTGAGGTAACAAACTACTATCCTTGTGGTAAAATACACAATAATAGAAATGGGTTGATTAAGGATGTAAGAGCTAGCTAGAAGTATGCCTGAGCTATTGACCAAACAGTGTTGTAATTAATATATTTTCTGTGTGATTTTTTGGGTCTTGGTGGCCAAGAAATGAAAGCACAGTCTCCATTTACATTCCTGAGAGTTGTTGGATCCAAAGTAAGACCTAGGATTCAAGCCATTCTTTTTCTTACCCAACCTGTGATGTGTAGAAAAGAAATGAGAAAAGAACTCAGTGGTTTTCCATATTATTCCTGATTTCTTTTGAATTAAGAAACCCCGATATCATGCTGAATTTTGCTTTTATAAGGTAACTGTTACAGAACAATAGACTTTGTATTGTCAGTGAAACGTAACTGCATCAGCTCACAGACCAGTTGATTTTCATGCATTAATATAAGTAGAAGCAAGAAAAGCTTGAGCAGCAATGCATGTTAGCATTTTTCATGTTTCCAAATGTATAGCCTGATTTTTCTACTTAATTAAACCATTAGGCTTTTAGATTGTGTCACACCATGTCCTACAGTCATGGACTTTCTTATTAAATCAGAAGAATGACACTACTTTTAAGTGCACAGAACTGTAAATAACTCTTTCTGAGGGCTCCTGCTCAGTGCAGTTTGGAATGGCTGTCAATCATGTCTGCAGAATGGAATTTCTCAAGTGTAGTGTTTAGTCCATGGATAGTTTTTCAAATGTCCTTTTTACTAACCCAACTGGAGTCTTTCCTCTATACCTATCCTGGCATTTCTATCCCCACTCCTTCTCTGTGAGCAGCTGAGGAACCAAGTCCAGGAAGCCTTCTATAGGAAGAAGCTAGAAAACATGTGAGCAAAGAGTTTCATAAAAAAAAAATCTAAAACAAAACCAAAAAACATGGCACAATGCTAGCAAACAGAGGCCTCTGTAGCCAGTGAAAATCAACCTGTCATGGTTTGTCCTACCCTGGAGAAGAACACCACATGGAAACACATGTTCAGTTTCCAATTCTGTCTAAAACGTGTCCTCTGTCCTGGGCAGCAGGGACATGAGCTCATCCAATTAAAATCCTGATACAGCTGAAGGAAAGCATGCTGCATGTGGCTTTCGCCTGAACACCAGGGTGACAAAGGTAAGGCTCTATTTTAGGGAAAACGACTGAGAGAGAACTCTGGAAATCATCAATGATGTGACACGAACCCTAAATAGCACATGGTTGGGAAAACAAGCTAGAGACAAAAAGTAAACCGTGACTTCAGCTGCAGATTTCTGTAAGTATGGCAGGGTGACAGAGTCCTCACTGCCCAATCAAAGCCAGGGGGGAGACTGTACTGTAGCATAGGCCTGGAAGCCCTGAGTGTAGGAGACCAGCACAGTGTCTGTTGGCTTTCAGCTTAGTTAGTTTGGGGAGCTAGATTCTCTAGGAGTATATTTTTCTCCACAGAAGCAATGCATGCCGAGCTCTTCCCTACCCCTCCATAATTCAACTTCCTGCAACAGATACTGGGGAATTCAATCCAGTCTTAGGGCCAGCAGCCAGCTTTGGGAATCCTCTAGAAGCTTTAGGGTAGTGCATTGATGTCTCCAAAAGTATACCCCTCTCTGAAGTATCCTGAAGCTTCAGAACCAGTCACCACAGCAGCTACTGCAGAAGCCCATGCATTCTTGCCCTGCTGACACTACAAGTGTTCTCATTTTAAGCCCATACCATTGTATTGCAACTGCTGGTACCCCCAAATCCCTGAAATTTCCCAAGTCTGTCTTAGGAGAAGGACCTGGAGAAGTTGTTATCCATAAACTTCTGCTTTCAAGAACATGACTACCAATGCCACAAACACTAGCTCTGCTAGCACTTATTCTGTGCAATATAAGGACATTATCCATGCATCGAGCCTCCTGTAATACACACGGAAGACATAGTAAGTCTCAAGCCTAGGACAAACTGGCTAACTGAGGTGCCCAGTAGCTTATCAAAGTGGACTCTGGATGCCAGGTCCCTAGCATCCTTCAGTCCCTACCTGTTACAGGGTCCTCCTTTCTAGCACACCCTGTCCCCAACCCTGAACTCTCCAGCCTAAAAACAATGGGCTGGGCCACCCTTTTCCCAGCTGCTCTTCCCTTATAGTCTAGCCATTTTAGCTACGTGGCCCCTTTTAGGCCTCTGGGTCACTGCTCCTGGCTCTCCTCTCTTACTCTCTCCTACCCTGTCTCCTCACATGGCCTGGCTGGTTATCTCCAATCTGGACTCTTTCAGATGCCTGCACCTCTGGATACATTTTCCTTTTATCTACAATAAACTTCCACCATACCTAGGAGCAGTCATGGCCTTCTTTTAATTCTTTTTTCATTCACAAAGAATGTGGCTACTAGTGCCACAAACCTTAATACTACCTGCACATATCCTTCAGGACATAAGAATGGCAGGAACATCAGTGATTGCATTTGCCTGGGGTTACCCCCATGGAATCTGAGGACAATTATTTCCAAATCCCACAATACAGAGATGGCTGCAGCTCCTGTCAGAAGCCCTAGTGTCTTCGGTATTCGACTGTGTGCCCTGAAGAAATGTACTTTTGGAAGCCAGTGTCTATTTCAAAATCATATAACAATGTTCATGGACTCCTTCAGTCTTGAGTAGTGAGAGTATCATTGGTGCTCTTGACATCAGTGATCGGCACATACATCACACAGCAGTTACTCTTTTGTGCTCATGAAAATCCAAAGTCAAAGGCCCTACCAAATTGAAAACCTGTAGCATAAATTCTAATTAGTCTTAATAATAAAAATCCAAAGTCAGATATTGGGGTAAATGCTGAATGATCAGAGAAGTAAAGGAGCCAGCTACTACACAGACGTTTTACCTCTACTGAATCCTCAGCTAGAAGAAGGCAAGATCCTGTCTCCACAAATTCTCAGACAGAATGGGTTATCCTGTCTCTGCAAGTCCTCAGACTAAATCTTGAACTCCTGTCTTCTCCTGCCTTATAGTCCTCTCTCAGCTCACCCATATCACTTCCTGTCTCCACCTCCCTAGTGCCAGGATTAAAGGTGTGAGCCAACACTGTCTGGCTCTGTTTCTCTTTTAGACTGACTCAATCTTGTGTAGTCCAGGTTGGCCTTGAACTAAGAGAGATCCCTCTACCTCTGCCTCCCAAGTGCTTGGATGGCTAACTAGTGTGGCTATCTCCCCACTCTGGTATTTAGAGAAGCTTTAATTGTTAAAACACAAACAAAATATTATCACAATATCCCATTTTCTATTTAATGCAAAAAAATTTCCTACAAAATTCCACAGAGATGAGAAAGCTGATGATTACATCAAATGCACAAACATGGAAGGAAGCTCAATATCTCTAGAGGTCCCAGTTTGAACTAGAACTCTGAAAATTCTAAAAATGAATTTGAAGTAATGAATCTAAGAAAACTCAGAGGCATTTAACAAAATGCAGACAGACAGCACAAAGAAATGAGAAAAAATTATGCATGAATGATAAATTCACCAGAGATATAAATAATAATAATAACTAATTATAAATCTTGGAGGTAAGAAATTGATAAAATAAAAATACAACCGATACTATCCATAATGCACTTGAATAAGCAAAAGAAAGGATATCTGAATTTGATGACAAGTATTTTGAATTATCCCAGTTCAACAGACAAGGAGAAGGAAGAAGAAGGAGCAAGAGGATAAGGTACCAGGAAACAGGAAGGGGAAAGGAGGAAACAAGGGAAGGAGGAATGAGACGTAGAATAAGATGAAGAGAAAGTGAGAGCAGAAAATCAAATGAAAGTATACATGATATGTGAAGCAGTATTGAATGAACAGATATTTACATTGTAGGACTATCACAAGTAGGAGAACAACTTGAAAATTTAGGTAATAAAATATACAAGCAATGTTAAGTTTTGTGAGGAAGGTAATTTGAGTGAGTTTGAAATTTTAGACGAAAACAGTAGAAAAATGTAGGTTAAAGAGATTAGCAGTGAGCTGACCATTGAGATTTAGAAAAGAAACAGCACAACAAGGGGCAGGCTGCATCATGAGCTGACGTGAAAACCTGAGAAAACTGTCCCCACGACACTGGTTTTGCAGGGATGAAAGGTGAAAGAATGAGAAAGAGTGGATCATAAAATCTGCTCAAGGTTTCAGAAAGCTGTGGAGGAGGAGCACAGGGCTGGACTCCCTGCACCCTGAAGGGCCGTTGAATGAAGGCTAGGATGCAGTGGAAGTTCCAGGAAGCTGGAGATGCCAGAACCCTGGCTGTCTTTCCAGGAGAGTGGAAAGTGTGGGATGTCGGCACCCCAAGGCAGAAGCAGACATGGGGCCATGGGTTCTTGGAGTCCTGATAATCTTATCACGAGCAGCAGATGGACAACATGGAGCTGCATGATGCAATGTTTCCTCTGCCAGGTTCAGGTCTTGCTTTGGTTTTCTTGCTGCCTCCACCCTAATTTCAATCTTTTGGAATCGGTATGCTTTCTCCATACCCTTGTATAGCAGAAGTCGGTAACTTTTATTTTACAGGCTTATTTTTTAATCTCACAGGAGATTTTATCTTGACAAATAAGGTATTATTTGCTTATATGTGTATGTTAGCTGTGAGACATTGACAAGCAGGCTACAATCAGTTTAGCTGCAGAGGTAAGGTAAAGAGTAAGGGACTGGGGAAAGAGATGCCCTCCCATGAAAGGGGGAGTAGTAATGGATAGATGAGGGGGATTGGAATGGCAGGATCAAACAGGATCAAACAGGAAGCTAAGGAGAGAATACGGGAGGGACAGCTAAAACTAAGGGTCATATGAATGGGTTGTCTAAAATCCTAATACAATAGAACCATCCTAAAATACATACGTATATGATGATGGTCTAAATGAAACCACCAAATATTATGGGAATTTGAGCCTGAAATGGATATTTCTTGTCAAAAAATTAAGCCTCCTGTTCTGGGAATGGGTTATACGTCCAATAGAGTTGATGGCCAATGGAACCCCATGGGAGCCTCAGAACAACTCAGGCTATTGACAGTGTTATTGATTGCTCTCCACAAACTAATGGTGAGTCACTATTGCTGAAGAAGACACCTTTACAATTCATTCACCACAAAGAGATTGTGCTGGTTCCTACCTAGAACATTCACTCCTATCAGAGACTAGTGCTCATGGTACTGGAAGACACTCTACAGGTGACCAGGAGAAAATAGTAAACAACAACCTAGCTACAAACCCTTCTGTCTACAATGATGACCTGACTGGCTG